CCCCACCCCTAGCAGAAGGGGTCATTATTTTAAATAACAATGCCAACTCCAACTTTTATTTAGAACTTTTGTTAGATCCTTAAATTCATAACTGTAGTTATTTACAAAATCAATGAAAGAAGTATTAAAGTTGGGAAACTTTAAAATCCCCCACCAAAGTCAACTGTGAATGCTGACTGATGTCAAGCCAAAGAAGCTAGTACTGAATATCCTTTTCTTCTACATGGGCAGCAGTTTTTATCATCCTAACATTTCTAATAACAACAATGTTGCAAGAAAAGCCAAGAATGAAATATGGGAATTTGAAAGGCATAATTCTCACCACACACACACAGAGAGAGAGAGAGAGAGAGAGAGAGAGAGAGAGAGAGAGAGAGAGAGAGAGAGAGAGAAAATAAAGCACAGTTAACTACTCCATATTATCACAAACCGAATTTTTGCAACGCCCCAAAGCCAGCTAAAGGCACAATATGGGCAAATAAGAAGACAGTAGCTATATTCTTGACTCACATGACTCATAGATGATCATATCCTGGAAGCCTTTGCTTTTCTGTTTTTAACTTTAGAATTCCTACATCTACGAAAGTGTTTCCAGACAAGCAGCACTTGATGACCTTTGCACTCAACTCCACTTATATTCTCTTCTTTAGGGACTTCCACACACTTGCTTAACAAACAATAAAACAATGTGGAGAGTCCAACAACTCATTAAGCATTTGCACTGCAGCTTTCTCACATTAAATCCAACTATTCTCACATTTAAAAAAAGTAAACACTATCCTTGCTAAATTACTCATTCCAGATGAGAAAATTATTTTAGAAATATAAGGCTTTGAAATGTAAATAAATATCCTCAAGAATAAGGACCCAACATGAAAACATAAAACTTTAGAAATTTGTAATAACCACCAGTACAATTATCAATTAAAATAATAGTAATTTAAAATGTAGCTAAAAATGAGAGTGGCATCGTGAAAAACTGTCACAAAAGCAGTTTGAAAACATATTGTAAGAAGCTTATACTAATGGCCTCTGAGGATGTTAGCATCATTCCTTGGCTCATGGCCACAACCTACCCTGCAAGTCTTTGGACAAGTATACCAATGTTAGTTGTACAGAGTCATGGATCATTTTAGTACATGGTCTAGGAAATGCCAAATGAGAGATCTCTGGAGCCATCTCGAGGATTTCCTAATGAGGAAAATTTGACTTAGATTTATTTACTTTATGTGCACAAGTGTGCTTATGTATGTGCATCACATGTGGACCTGATGATAGTGGAGATCAGAACAGGGTGTCTGATCCCCTGGAGGCAAAGGTATAGAGATTGTGAACTACTGTGTAACTGCTGGGAATCAAACCCGGGTCCTCTCCAATGATCTACTGGGAACTAGATTGGTGTCAGTGGTAATTTCCAAGTCAAGAAATTCCAGCTCAGTTATAAATCTCTGGAGAGCATGAATCACTTTATTAAAAGGTCTTTAACTACTTAAGATAGATGAGAGCCGAATTAGAACTTAGTGTATTAACTACAGAGCACATCATCAAAGATACTGCAAGAAGAGCATTCATAATTTTGTTTCTAGCTTGCTGTTTTCCAAACAAACAAATAACAGATCCCTCTAGGAGACTAAAGCCTGAAGGAATTCGTAAGTTTCTCTAAAATTATGCTTGTCACTTTTATGTGTCAGTATGTCTAGGCTCCAGGCTCCAGTTATTCAATCACAGAGTAACATAGGTGCTACTACAAAAGTAGTCTGCAGGCATGACTAAGCCGCCATCAGCACCTCTATTAGGCAAAATTATTCTAGAGAGGCTGAGGAGAAACAGTTCAATTGTTTGAATCCTAAGAGTAGATCAGAGGCCCCTCAGAATAGGAACTAGAACACTGTGAGCAGCAGACTCGCTGGTCTGAAGGTTCCAGCCCACCTCTGGATCACCTGCCCTGTGGGTTTTGGACTCAAGCCCACAACAAGCATGTTAGTACATGTCTGCTTAGTCTTTATGCATGTAGTCACATACACAGGAGATCCTGAGTCCTTGTTTGAAGTAGTGATTTAGCTCCTCAGAACAAACTCACTCTACAACCTGGTACCACCATTTACACTGTCATTCTTAAAATGCACGTAAGCAATGAGCAGCTACATGGAAATTCCAGGCATGGACTAGCTTACTCTAGTTGAGTAACGTTAGCTGATAACAGCAGGATGAAGGCAATCTTTTTTTAACTAGTCTAGCCATCTTATCTCAACAAAATCTTTTAAGCCAATGGAATTTTGTTTTTAGATATAACATGCTTTAATTTTTAATCTTTTGTTTTTACAGTACCCTTTCCAAAAAGGAGAGAAATTTGTCAGGTAAATGACAAAACAAATCAAATACCATGAACTAAGTTTAAGTTCCATAAAACAAGAATATTTAATCTGATCTTGATCTTTGTACTCCACATTTTGAAAAATCATGGTATCAGAATTTTCAGATAAGAATGTCATAGTGCAGCAGGAGAGTCTAGATTTGGGGATGATCAACAGCAATAGATATCTTTCTCTCTCTTTGTGAGATGGCCACAAAAACGGTGTACGTGAAGTGCTGAGCTCAGATGGTCTGCTGGGGGAAATTGTTCCAGGACAGAGGAAGAAGGTCAAATGGGTGATAAAGGTGAAGCACCAGCAAGTGGCCTTCAGCTTCCTCCGGTCTTCAGAGTAAGGGTATGTGTGGCATGCCTCCCTGAATTGTCCTTAAACGACAAGATTGGGACCTTTTATCCAGTGAAGCAACCCTCATGCAAAGAAGACTTCAAGCTTGAAATTTCCTTGGCTCACGGACGACACTACTTGGTGATCCTGAGCTATGTTTTCTATGGATGGAGATTTACAGGAGGACACAGGAATAAAAGATCTGACACAAAATGCTAGGATCCAAGATTTGTCTCAGTTTGTAAGGAAACTCCAGAGATGGACCCTGAACACCGGAAGAGGCTACCATTCTATGGATGTCTTCGTGAACCCTTCTTAGAGTCCTTTTAGAAAAGCAACAAGGAAAGTGCGTACACACGTGTATGCATGCAGAGTCATCAATTTCAGATGTGCTCTGGAAGGTTTTCCTTCTGCGGAGCCAGGATTGAGCTTGATGCTGGAATTATTTTTTTTAAAGGAAGGAAGTGGCTGGGAGAGATAACAGTACAGAAAGTGAAGAATTGGGATATATGTGCCTTCAGAATAGTTGTCTTAGATCAGAACTAAGGGTTCTCTACTCTCTGCACAGCCTTAAAATGAGTTAAACACACATTGCTGCTTAAATTGTGGTGAAAACAACCAGGAAGGTTTTCTCACAATCTCTCACTAAGGATCTCTCTATCTATTTACATGCATCTGGATCACCACATGCTCCTGCATTGTTCTCCCAAAGTCAGATGAACTTTCTGGGATTCTAACGAAGATGAACACATCTGTTCCTTACCACTTGCCCAAAATGTGTGGCCTAAATAACTTTTCCCTCATGAATCATTAATTTTTTCTGGAAATAATATTGCTGTTACCGTTCAACATTTGTAATACAGAGGACTGAGATGCTGTTACCCCGGCATTGACTGCTCCATTGGTCTTCTCCACATTACTCACTTTCTTTGTCAAGCCCCTTTCTCCTGACTGCTGTTCTCCCCCTCCTTTGCTTTTTAGAAATCCATCACCTTCAGGCAGCTGAAAGTGCTCCTGTCACTAAGTCAGTGAGACTTTACTGGCTTTCTCTCATACTAGCTCTCCTCACCACTGGGTAGGGATCATCACTCCCTTGGTCACTCAGTTTCCAGGACAACTGCCTTCACTTAGCTATCCTAAGTGGATGGAGCTGGCTTCTCCTTTTCTCAGTGCCTGATTTTGTATTTTGACAGAGAAAATAATCATAAAATGGAAAAAAAAAAAACAGATAAATTTGGGCCTAGGACAGTTTCCAGTAGAAAAAATATTAACTCCCAACTTTAATTCAATATGAAAATGTATATTTTGGGTTTTTTAGATGCTTGTGGAATAAAAAGGTGTACAGAAATTTAAAAAAAAACTAAGCAAAATGAAATTGATGGGGATAGAGAGATGACTCAGGAGATAAGAATACTTGCTGCTCTTTGCAGAGGACTTGTGTTTGATTCTTACCACCCAATGGGACTCCTTACCTAACTCCAGTGCCAGGGAACCTGATGTCGGATTTCTAGCCAACTTGTGAAGATCTTGTCTGCTGGAACTGGGATCTGAGGACCTGAAAGAAACATGGGAACTACAGTTTACTGCTGTAGACACCTTACTTCAGTTTCAGTGACTTCTATACAGGAAAGTAACAAAGCAAGCAGTGACCCAAGGAAAGTTGAGTTCAGAAAAACGTGATCAGAAAAACATAAATAAAAATCAGTAAGCAGAGTAGCCCTTTCCCAGAACTTTCTCAGGATAGACTAATTTAAATACAATTGCTTGGCACATACTATAGATTTTATCTGGGAAAATGTAAAAGCAAGGCAGAAGTCCAGATTCAAGGTACACTGACCAGATTGGGTCCTAGAGCCATGTTTTGACATCCAACAAGAACGAACATGTCTTATAAATTGAATGTAAATGTTTGTCTCAGGAGGCACAAAATCACATTCAAGAACAATCCAGGAACAATATGCACCTGAGGCAAAAGGCCTTCTGTCTTTTTTTCCAGGGTCTCTTTCTCAGTTCCCAAGGAACTGCTCACCATGCATCATTCCTTTGACTGTGTTCCAACACCTGACATCACCCTAGGCACTGCACATGTAGTTATAGACATTCGGACAAAAGACACATACAAATAAAATAAAAATAAATACTTTAAAAAAATCAAATTGCTAAGAAATGTAGCTCTATTAAGAAATCCCATTTATTATCTACAAATTCTCTTATAAGCAATATATATTTGTAGAAAGATAAAAATGATTCATACAGCACTACTTCAGGCATTCATTCATACTCTTGTTTTGCCTTATGTATTTTCAGCATGATTCTGACAAGACTCATAAAGATAAAGAAGAGCATTTCTGCAATTACTGAAGAAGGGCACATTCTCCTCATGAGGGGAAACAATACATATATGAGAAGGTAAGATTGTCAGTGCAGAACTAGAAGAGAGATAATTCCCCAATGGTCTCAAAAACAGAAAATCCGTAGTCCTCTCTTGGGATCAGTATGGAAAAAATAAAAAGTAAGAAGATCCTAAAGAGCTTAATGGATCAGAGGTACAGGAAAGGGTAAAACTGAGGCTTACCTACTCCGTAGATACAGAGTAGGAAGGAGTATCAGGAACCCAGTGAAAAGACTGGCATGCTTCAACAACAACAACAACAACAACAACAAATCCCTAACATTTAGATAAGCTGTATGGTGGGTAATGTGCTAGAAGAAAAATGTATGAGCAACACTCCCAAGAGGAAACGCTGAACTTCCTGCACATGAGATAAGTTTTCCACATTCTGTTAGCCGTTTGAATAAAACGTGCCAACACCACATATGTTTCCAGAAGACATATTTCCACTGAACACATTCTCAATCCATGAGTTATTAAAATCGATTGCTGGGGCAGTTGCATACTGTCATACCATCTGCTAAAAGATTTCCCTCTGGCAAATTCAGGGAAATACAATTAAAGAAAACATGTGGAATATTTGGAGCGATTTGTATATATTTTATTATAGCTGAACTTCAAGAGCTGCTGAATTGAGGCAAAACATTACCCAGAGAATCTACATTCTCTCGTTGACCAGCTTGGCAAGATACTTGAATCAAAACTGAATGTTTCTGGCAATATATTGTCCTTCAGGAAAATCTTAACAGAGTATCAAGAAATAAAAGAAGTATTGAATTTGGTTTGGTGAAGTTGGCTGTAAAATGTTCCTTAATTCTGGACATCGCTATCCACTTAGCTCACACTGAGCCCAACTGCTCCCCAGGGGCAAGGACTTTTCTGACATGAAAACTAAGGCAACAAGACTTGCCTTGGATACGACAGCAGTGGGAACAGTTTTCCCTCTATAGATGCATTCTTCAGCACTGCAGTTCCCAGAAATAGTTTATCAGTTATCATAACATTTAAGATGAGAGTGAATCAAATATTCCATTGGTATTGAGGATAATCTCATGCTGAGGCAATATATTTTCTTTTGTCTTTAACTATGGAAAACACTGCTGGTCATTCCAACGACTTTAAACTTGACAATGCAGTATGTATAGAGAAGATCATGGGAATCTTATTCCCATTTTATTTTGTAGAAATCCACCCAGCTCATCTGACCTTTAGTTCTTGGCCATATTTACAGCTTGCTTTCTGACAAGAAATAAAAATTTAAGTTTTTTTTTTTTTTAAATTCAGCATCTACTCAAAGTGGCTGACCTAAAAAGTCTAAGCAAATATAGATGAGTTGTAGGTAATTATGTGCATAAACACTTCCCTATAAGCTTGTTCTGTGTGCCATCAAAAAGAGAGAAATGCAATGTTTCAGGAAGAGAAGAAGCAGAGAAGGGAGCTTTGCATTTTGCTTATTGAGAGATGTGATTGGTTATAAACACATCAAGTGGAAGGGTCAGGAGGTAAGAAAGAGAAAGTCTATTGGACTTGTCTCTGTAGGCTTCATGTTAGATAAAGAAGATATGAATTTCTACCCTTAAGGCCCTAATACTCATCTCTTTTCTTAAGATCACCATGAGAAATTTGTCTTCTGACTCTTTAAGACTCCCTAATATGATCAGTCTTCAAGAGATGGAGTAAGTTTTATCCTGAGACTGTGAAGAAAAAAACAAGTATTTTATTACAATACACTTTAGTCTCAATACAAGCTGGAGATTGAGGAATTTTGGCCAAAGGATGAAAGCTTAAATTATATTACCATCCTACAAATGGATCTATTGTGTAAGAATCAAGGGCAATTGTCTGAAGTGCCTTACACTCAGACCTTCATGAATCTCTAACAAGAAAGGCAGATAGATAAGCAAAGAGAAAAGGAAAATGATATTTTATATAACCTCTGTATATGTACAAACCCCAACTTTCAGACAAGAAACAATTGACAGCAGGTCTCAGGTGAGGTATCTCCTCACACTCCGCAGAGCTCCCCACCTCTACATTTTTCTGTAACCCCAAGTTACCAGAGAAATGAAAATTCTGCCTTACAGGGCATTCTGGGAGTGTAGTCTCCTATCAACCACCTTCTTCTATCCCTATTGCACATTCTTTAAATGAAATACTGGGAGTAATATAACTCAATACTCCCTGTCAACCATAGACCTTCAACAGTGCAATGAGAAGCTAAGATTTCCTGAGGATCCATATCAATTTACCAGTAACTTTCTTCCCATGACAGTACCCTACAAGGGCACAAGAGTAAACCTGAACTTAGTCCAGACTACTTACTGTTCACCTGGGTGAAAAGCAGAGGATCTGGCAGAGGGCTAAGTGAATAAAAGACATTTGTATATTTGCAGTGATAGTTTTATATCTGAATGTCAGTGTATCATTTAGGAAATATGCTCAACTACTATGTACCTCAAAACTAAACGTGTTCTCATTACCTATGTGGACACATAATGTGAAATAGGCCTTCTTAGCTTCATGCAGCTATTTTGAATTTGAAAACAACTTTCTCATATCTTTCCACAGTCAAATGTTATGACTCAGTTGCTCTTGCCTTTTCTATAAGCGTAAGAGAAGTTAGAGATGAGTTGTGAAAATTATCTTGAGCTTAGATTATGGCTTTATCCATTCATTTTTTCTTATTATCTTTAGTTCAGAATTGAATCATCACTGGCCTCAAATGTAATACTTATTAGCAATTAATAATTTCTTTATACTTACTATAGATTTTTCTAGACCATGAATTCTAAGACTTTCATAGAAACTGCATAAATAGGTTGGTTTTATAATTTCTTACCAGAGCATCTAAAATAAAATATATAGCCAATACTTAATGTGGATAAAAATATAATTTTATTAGTCTATACAATTTTGTTTTCAGCAAAGAAATTATAAATGATGCTTTCAAAGATAATAATCAAAAATACGTACACATATGTATATATATAAATGAGTCTTATTAAGATGTAGGTTATATACCACCACTAAAATTTACCTATGACATAGAGGTTTAGATTAGATACATTTGGATTAATGCCACATTGCCCTTTCTGTTATTGAATGTGTTCTTACACTGGTATTTAGGCATCTGGATTTGAGTAACTGATAATTGTAAACACAGAAGCCAGCATGGGATGTGCTGGATTTGTAGTTTTTACTGTCTTAGTTTGAAAATCTTTTTTCTTTTATTCTCTTAAATCATCTTTTCCCATCATTCCCATTAGACACATGGAATAAGAGGATTTCCAACAATGGTGCTGCTACTTGTGGAATTTTTTTCAAGTGTTAGTGTGTAAAGTATAAATATCTACAGACATCATTTAAAAAATTATTGCCTTACTTGGTGCCCATTCCTTTCATATAGCACTTGCATTTTTTTTCAGTATTATTCTAGGAAATCATTTGGGGAAAAAAAGAAGACATTTATAGAAAGTTCTGTTTCTTTGCCCAGTAAGGCTTTTGAAGTGATAAGTATAATGATGAGGTGAACTTGGACAACACTTGAACCTCCGGGAATGTAGAGTGTTTTCACGACCATGTGCCAACTCATCAGTCTGCCTGACACTGCCAGTCTGTCGGCAGGCCTTCATTTATTTTCTTCATATTTTTACCACCACAGAATAAAGATACAAAACTGAGCTCTCAACGTCTATATCATCTATACGGGTAAATACCATACTCTCTTTGCTTTACTTTTTAATTCTCTAAGATACTTAATATCATTGTGTAACTTCAATAGTAAATGAATAAGAACTGAGTTTTAAAGAGTTCAGTTTTTAGTGGTGTTGGAGGTTATCATGGGATTGAATTTCCTCATTTTTATTGAATTAGTAACTTTTCAGTACTATAAGAGAATTATCTGACTACCTATTTTATTTTACCTATTTTTTTCAAATAGAATTAGAACTCTGTTGCATTTTGATACATAAAACATCTTAATTCTAGGTAATCTAACTTAATAAGGTTTTTATACTTTAATTTACAAATGAACATGTCTTTATATTTTAACTCATAAATGAACATGTTTGAAAAAGGTAAATATCTATACTTTTCTCTCAGTTCTTTTAATGTCTTTGTATTTTGCTGTTGTTTCTTAAAAAACTGTAATATTAATTTGTAACATGTTATGACATTTTTAATTGAAAATGGATTCTCTTGAGGTCATCTCTTTAATTACACATTATTTACCTAGCAATTAAAAAGCCTACTTTTACTATGTTGCTATATATTGCTCATATTTTTATGAAGACATATACACATAAAAAACTAACTCCAAGACTCAGGGTACCAACCCAAGGAAGCCGTCCCTTTACCTTTTCTGCTTCTCTGTTCTTCTCCTGTGTTCCCAGCTCAGAGTCCCAGGAGGCTCCAGTTGGAAGAGAAGCAGTTCACCCCACTCCACTCTCGATTACACCTCTCCATTAGAGACATCATTCTTCAGACTCTGTGCAGAAAGAACAGGAAATGCTCTGTTAAATCCCACATGAAGTGTGTAACTCTTAATGTGGTGAGACTTTTTAATTCTGATTTGATATAATGTTTGAGGAAAGAATGCATAGGATGTATTATCCCTTTTTTTTTTTTTTATTTTGAAACTTTTTTCTCTTGTCCTGGTGAAAATAAATGTGTTCCTCCCATGTGGCTTTAAGAGAGAGTGAGACAAGAAGGTCAATTAAAAATGATTTGTATTATATGAGTATATAATATTATATACCTATGATGTGGTGTAGGTATGGCTGCATGTGGAGGCCAAAGACAACAGACAACCTCATGGAATGTCTTCTCTGTTTATACTTTATGAAGGTTTTGGGTTCTGAACTCAGGTAGCCAGACTTGCACAGAAACACTTTTACCCACCGAGAGCCACCTCACATTTCCACCTCTGATGATTTGTTATATGACTCTGCTATGTCAACCTAGTGCATGCATAACTGTAAATAACAACAACAAAGATAACCTGGATGTGTCATTTCTATATATCAGATATACATGTGTGTCTACCATGTGTGTATACAATCAGACACATATGTTTGGAAAATTAAAAGTGTCACATTAGAATTATGATCTGTTTTGACTTTTGTGACGAAGACTGAACTTGCCTTGGGCATAACTTGCCTTTCTCTACCACAACAATCTGCTGTGAACCTTCTGTGAGGCGCTGTCATCATCATGAGGGAGTCAGAAACTCCATATGGACATGAAACCCTTGAGGAACACCAACTTGCAGATTTTTTTAGCAAGAGTGAGAAACTGCAAATAACAATAAGAGACAAAAAGGAAAATACTATGCTGAAATTAGCACCATAAACATTGGTCATATTATAATTGTATTAACCCATAATTTCACTTCTATATATTGTAAAGGTGAATTATTTACCTGTAACCTTAAGCTTCTTAAGTACAATGCTCACTAAAGATGGGATGATAGTGCACCCCAATCAATGAGATCCAAATAACCTGTAAGCTAGGTCCACAATATTTAAAAACTTACCTAAAATTTAAAAATACCAAGAACAAAATAAATAAATGAGCAAAGAACAAGAAAATATAAACAAATTTGAACATATGAAACTATATCGAAATGTATACAAAGCAAGACTATGGTGATATATAACTTTTATTTGTCAACTATGAAAAAACATTGTTTACTGGCTATTTTGTTGAAGCTTTAGGGAAAGAGGCCCCAACATGTAGCTGATAAGGATCATAATCTGGTAAATCTCTTTTAAAAACCAAACTTAAAATTGTCTATAGTATATTTAAATATTATTTGTGACTTTCAAATGACACCCTAATGTCCACTAATAGGAGACTGTGGCTCAATAATGATACGTGACTGCAATGGCATCTCGTTGTTGCTATTACAAGTAACAAGGGAGACTTCTATGTTTTTGTTTGAGTGAAACCAACAGAATAACGAAAAATAAGCATGGCAGAGTCCATGACATGTTTTGAGCAAAATGAAAAAAATTAAATGATGTATCCACTGGTCCTTTTATATTCTTGTAGAACCTTTGGAGATACATAGAAGTGGTGGCAGTTCATCTGCTAGATAGTTGTGGGACCCTTCAGGATGGGGAATAGGAATGAAATGCATCCGCTAAGAAAATTGTTAGCTTTTAAAATTATGTGGAAATGCTGTGTTTACAGAAACTAGAACAGTAATAGCACAGAAGAAGAAATGATGTAAACAGGATGGAAATTGAAAAGCAACGAAACAAGATTTTGAATCTCCAGGTAGAACTGCCAAATAAACTATAATTTAGAAAATATCACTGACAACATCTAACAGAATGGCACACTGGTGTGTGCTCTACCTGGGTCTATAAACTTGAAAGTTCAAAAACAGAGGACAGGAAAATGGAGTACGACCTAATGGCACTGAAAGAATGGCTTTTAAGGTAAAGAAGCCATGATGTTGATATATTCTAACACAGTTCCTAATATTTCTTCAGAGCAGGATTTAAAGTTTCTCTTTATCTTGAAATTTAAAGATCCACCTTGCTCACTCTCACCAGTGTTTAAAAATGGAAGTGAACCTGAAAGAAACACATTTCAATGATTAAGATTCAATTAAAATGACGTTTTAAAACTGCCTGACAACACAGTTAAACTACTTGAACCATGGGTATTGGTTATCGTCACTTTCCATGGTTTCTGATAGTCATTTTCTTTCTCTGAATATAAATATACAGGAAATATTTGTGGTAATTTCACCCAAAATGCTGTCTCTAGTTTTTTGTGGTGGTTAAATTTGAAGTCATCTTTATATCTTCTTCTTGGTGATTTTTTTTTTTGGAAATTGTCTGAAAAAATTTCAATTTAAGAAAATAATGAGGCCATAGCTATAAAGAAGATGCATGATCCATCCATACCAAAAGACATTCAGGATTGTAGTGAAATAAAAGCAAATAAACAACACAGAGAGCATATGTTCAGTGAGTGCCGTTTTCTTCATTTCCTTAAAAAGATATCTGTGGTAGAAATAATACCTAACTTGTTTATTGTTTGCAGTTCTGAAGTGATAAATTGTGCTCTTATGACTGGGCCATGATGTTCTGCACAGAGAACTGAGAGTGTGGACGGAGGATTTCCCCAATGCTAGCCATGGAGTAGACTCAAACAACTGAAAGCTGTAAGAGATTCTCAAGTCCCATTAGACAGGTATGAGGCCTAAAGGAGATTAAAATATTTTCTGATTTGTGATTGACTCGGCTAAAAAAGTAGAGTTCCTTTATTTCGGTGTTTGTCTCATAATCACTGTATGAAATTGATGTATTAAAAATCCTCTCCCTTGAAGTGATAGCACTAAGAGGTGGGGCTTGGGAGGCAGAGGCTGGCAAAACTCTCAGGACAAGTGTTCTTCCAGAGAGGACCCAGAAAGCTGCCTTACTCCTTCCATCATGTGGGTACACAGGCAGGAGGATTATCTATGAGCCCCAAATGTGTGCTGGTCCCGCCCTCATTATGATTACAACGTGAACTATTGTAGCAAAGAAAAAAAATTGTGTGCAAGAAAAAATTATTTTTTCTTGTGGTAAAGTCTGGTCAAGGATGTGGTGATGATTCTTCATTTCAGTTAGGATCCTGGATCTAACTAGAATTGCTACCCTTGAGCATTCTTCGGTTTCCTGCTTTTTTTTTTCTTATTCGTATCTGTTATATTTCCTAAAATTTCATTTGTTATCCTGAAAAATGAAGGGCCAGTATAATGACTCAACACCTAGGAAATTTAATCCTTGCCTTTCCGAAAAATGGAATCCATCAACAATAAGAAAAATAATCGATAAAGATCTTAACTTGAAAACAAAGCAAAACTAACAAACAAAAAACCCAAGCAAACCAAACAACAACAACAATAACAACAGCAGCAAAAGGCGGTTGTAGCCGTACACCTCTAATCCCAGCTCTCAGGAGGCAGAGACAGGCAGATCTATGAGTTCTGGGCAACCTGGTCTACAGTGTGAGCTCCAGGACAGCCAGGGCAGCACCTGTCTTGAAAAACAACAAAACAAAATAAACAACAAACAAACAAACAAACAAAAACCTGGTCAGCACAGGTTGGATCCTGCCAGCTGCGGTGGTGGGGACAAGGGATATAAAGGACCATCAGAGCTGGGGCCTGCCTCAGGAGCCAGGTGGGGCCAAAGGCCTCCCAGAAGCAGGAGCTCTTGTCACCAGCTCGTTGTTTTCCAGCGGGAACTGGGGAACACTCATCTGTTACTGTGGTGACAGGCTTTCACAATATCCTCCAGCCGAAGAAATGTGGCCACAGCCAGGCTGGCTTCAGACTGGAGCTCTTTCAGCAGCCCCAACCACGGGAAAAACAAAGTGCAGCCAACTCCCAATAATCGCATGTGGATGCTTCATATTAGCTAATTATCTGGGGGCTGGTGACTGGATATGGGAAACACATCAAGAGCATCGCAGAAGTCCCCAGGATGCCGTTTTCCATCTTGATGCCAAAGGAGTAAAAGAATCCCGTATGTGTCTGAGTAGGGCTGGGAATGGGGAGGTCCCGAGGAGTCTTGATCTTGGGTTCCTTGTCAATTTCCCCAATGTCTGAGGAGCTCTTTTTCCCTTTCCACCTCCTTAACTTCTCTCTCCCCACTCTCCAAATTTAAGGGAAGGAATTATAAAGTGCTGAAGTTTTTTCAAAGCCTTTTCTTCTGTGACAGACAACACATGACTTTTGCCTGTGTAACACTTTCCTTGGACAATTTCTTTATTTTGACTCACAAGAAAAGCTGGTCAGAAATCAGACCTAGTACTGTTACAGAGAGAGAGAGAGAGAGAGGCAAGGATGGCATACTTCACAGATTAAATTGATGGTCTAACTAATTCAAACCACACACACACACACACACACACACACACACACACACACACACACACACACCCATGTGACTGGAAAGTAAAAATTTGATTCTACAGTATGTGAAATGTCAACAAATTAATATTAATCATGTCAAAGGATATTTTATAAATTGAGAATACACTGGCTAAAATCATTTTAAATAT